TTCGTGTTTACCTGTCAATATGCTCGCTCCGTGACTCGACTTTAATTGCGTACTCGACCGCAGTTTCCACGATGTTTGCGTATTTTTGCGATATTTTTTTTTTTCTTTTACGACTGTTCCGCTTCGAACGCACGCATCTGAAAATTCAATAACCGCCTCGGTAGAACTACGTTCATTCATTTCATTCGTTCGGTTAATACCCGTAATCAAGTGAGCATTTCCTGCTTCAGTTTATTTTTTTTTTTTTTTTCAACGTTAGTTCTGATTATGCGAAGATGCAGATGATGGGGACAATTGGCGAGTTACTGTAATAAATTTTAATTGTATAGAATGACTGTCTGCCGATAAGTTCAGATAAATGGAACGAACGAATGAAAACGACACATCTGTATTTATAAGATTCGTGTTCCCAATGTTCGTTTTTGAATTTTGTTAAACGACGTTCAAGTATTTTTATGGGATGCGCGCTGGAAATTTTTTAATTAAATATCAGAGAATTTAATGTAATTAAACTTTTATTATTTCATCTCATTCATTTTATACTCCTTTACGGGAGGGGAATGTAAATTTTGTTAAACGAAAATGGGAATAATATTAAAATAATCAGCGTAAAATCATTGAAATTTTCCGACAAAACACAAAAATATTTATAACTGTACTTATGGCTCGTATCACACCGCTCGTATATATTCATTTGGTAATTAATAACGATAATTGAAAGGAGAATCTTTCAACATTGTTGCTCCGACAATATAACCTCGACCAATTGATCAATCCAAGTACTTCAATCATTCAGTATTCGCGTCTATTCTATTTGCCTCCTTTTAAACTTCAGCAAATTAAGAATAATCGATCGTTTTTCTCTTTGAAAGAACTCCGATAACACAAGCAATGGCGATATTATTCCGCCATTAATTTTCCTGTCTGCAGTTGCAGCTATTCACGGTTTATACGGTTGTTGAAAAAAATTCATTATTTAAAAATTCTGCACGGGAAATTTCCACGAATTTATCTGGAAAATAAATTGTATGAATCCGCCTGATATATTATACATGCATATGCACGCGGATTATCCTCTGGTTAATAGGGAAAATTTCATAAAGTTACGTTTATTGGTTTGAAAATTGGTTATAAAATTTTGGACTCAAACAAGCGAGAGAGACCTTTTTTTTCCCAATGCGATAAATGTCACCATCATTTCACTTTCAGAACATTCGGGCAAAGATATTTTTTGCCTAACGACATTTTTCCACATATTTTTCTGGAAATAATTTAGAAACACAGAGCATCGGGACGAAAATTTGAAAGAAAATTTATAATGGTGATGTACAAAACACATGTTTGATTAAATAAAGTTTGGAGAACAATTTCCACAATTCCTTAAGGAATAAAAGTTCAATTTTCGTTAAATCTATCGTATGAAATACAAGGATAAGATAAACACAAAAACACAAGTCATACGATAAATTTTAAAAAATTAAAATTTAAATATCTGATGGTTTTCTAATGTAAAGAGATTGATAGAGGACTTACTGATGTGAACTTACTAATCTTAAAAGTTATATAATTCCATTTAAAAAAAAAACAAGTTGACCTTCACACGTCCTCTACGTGTCCATCTACTAGAAAAATTATTATCATATTAATAATTTTTGTCCCTCAATGCTAAGCAAATTTCTGATTTCCTATGACGAACATCTATATAGAAATGAGTTGCATTCGTCGATTATTCTCTCTGTCACTCTCTGTTTATTCCCTAAAGTTTTCCAAGTAGTGGAAGCATCGCGTTCCAAGGTAAATGT